TCGATCGGAGAGATCGGTAATACGGATGGACCGGAAGTCGGCCTGATCTCGTCCAATCGCGTTCTCGTCGCGATCGCGAGCAACGGCGAGGAGAAAGAGGCGCAAGGTCTCAGAAAAGTTTTTTTTTTCGATAATTCGCAATTGCGGAAATTGTTCTGATTACACAAGGTTACGCGTTGCGTAATCGCGCGCATGCACGCGGGATCGAGTGGGGAACGTTCTCGAGACTTTCGTCGAAAGTTTTTTTTTTTTTTCCTTTTTTTTTTTCGCGACACTGATTGGAACGCGGCTAAGCTATTCCAAGCTTAGGAAATATCCGTTATCGATTTCGATATCCGTTAACGCGATCGTTTTATTCCTCTGTTTTTTTTCTTTTTTCTTTTTCTTTTTCTTTTTCTTTTTTTTCTATTCCACGCTCTCGATAATTCTTTCGATCGAGGACGCGTCGAAGAATTTTGTTTTTTTTTTTTTTTTTTTTTTTTGTTTTCCGTTTCTTTCGAACGATTTCACGGAGAATAGCGTGGAATTAGCTCGAACAATCCACCGATAGTAAACGTTAATTCATTCGAGTTACAGATCCTGTTAACACGCGTACGTACGAGCGTTACGTAAGGTTGCATCATTACCGTTTAAATAGCATCGAAATCGATCATCGATCGTCGTTACAATGAACGTTATTTCAAAACTGAACTTCTGTTGATCGTACGATCGCGAATAATCGCGCTTTAATCGCGTTCACCCAGAAATTTCCTATATCTTTTTCTTTTTTTTTTTTTTTTTTTTTCATTCGATCTATATTCATCGTCTCATCGAACCAGGGGGAGGGAACACTTGCCTTGTCGACCCATTCTTTGACTTCGAATGCTTTTCCTCCCTACCAGCCGATCGTACAACGACATCTTGAGATTTGGATTGTTGGTCTGGGGTAAACCTCCGGTTTCGGGGCTGCTGTAAACGCTGTTGTGACGATTTCTAGAGAAGAAACCACCGCCGCTGCTGTACGTGGTCGAGGAGCTGCGAACGGAGCCCATCCTGGTGATTTGTCTTTGCAGCCAATTTTTCCTTCGCTCGACCAACGGTGTATCGACGCTCTCCTACGAAGGGGAGGAGAAAGATAATAATAATAATGATAACAGTACGACGAACCGGTTTCGTCCAAATTTTTCCACTTTCCTCGAAAAGAGGAGAAAGAGGGAGGGGTGAGAAGAAAAATCGGGTGAGGCGCGTCAATGTCGGGGAAGAAGGGAAACGATTACGTCGAGATGACGCGCACTTACGTAATCGGCGTACATGTCGTCCTGGTGGGTCTTGCGATGCTGAACGTGATTGTGAATCTGTGTGCCCAGCATCACGTTCGCGTACAGTGCATCGCTGTCTTTCACCTTGTAATGCTCCGCGGAACCCTTCGGTTCCTCCCTTCGATACTGCTCGCTCGCCACCGTGTACGGTAGATCTTTGGGCACCACCTCGTCCCAATATTGATCTTTCAACAGTTCCGGATGCTCCTCGTGCATTTCGTCCACGATCATGTACCCGGCCTGTTAACGAGAGGAAGAAGAAAAGAATAATAAACGAGTATCGATCTTGCGATTTTCGAATTTCCATTTCACTCTTTCACGTTTTCGAGAGACAGAGAGAGAGAGAGAGAGAGATAATCTGTTGGAAAAAGCGGTACATACCTTGATGTGGCGATCTATCAGCCAATTTAGCTCGATATCATCGTCGTCCTCGCCGAAAGGATTGATCAATACCTCGGCGACTTTCAACCATCCCACGTAAAAGCAGAACTGAAACGAAAACGGAAAACGGTAGAGGAACGTCGCGTTTCCAACATAGTATCCAACAGTGTGAAATATCGTTTAAAACTCGTCGTATAGTACGAATATGTATGTGGAGGAGTGATCTTCGTCCACTTTTTCGTCGATTGATCAATTTAACCGATCGAACGGTGAGATTAAAAGCGACGAGAGTAAAAAATAAAGTTTTTCTACTTTAGGCTTGGAAACGTTCGAAACGAAAATCGATTGACGCGAAGAAACGATATTTCATACGAGTTTATATTACGAGTGTATTTTTCTCTTTTTTTTCCTTTTTTACCTGCAAAGCCGTGAAAAATGGGAAATACATGTCAGGTTCCTCGTATTTGCCGCCTCCGACGTCAGTTCGCTCGATAAATTGTCTGCCGAGCAAGGCGGAGAAGAAATACGCGTACAACGATAGCGTGACCACCTAAAAAAAACGCAAATAAACGACGATCAAACTCGGCCGATCGTAACCGTTGAATGCCGTGACCCTAAAAACCACGTTATGTCGACGACTCTCGTAATTGGCAAAATAAAATTGTCATTAATTTCGCGATACAAAGAGGAGAATAAAAAATATAAACGACTTTCCATTACGATTCGTTAATTAAATTTACTCGGTACGAGATTGCGGATTGGACAAGTAAATTAAACGACAGAAATTTATAGACAAGCATCGCTTGGTTGCATCACTTTGTTCGATTCTCGGAACGTGTACACTTTCTGCGTACCGAGGAGGAACACGGATAAAACCGATCGACGAGCGAGAAACGGCGTTCCTTCGCATCGCTATAAATATCGCTTCTTTCAGAGCTACTTTCTTCCTTTATTTTCCCAGTTTTATGAAACTCTACGCTCGATGAGAATTACACATTGTTCGCGCGGACAACGCCAACGGCCAAGGTATTTAACGATGATCGTAAAGAAAATATCACGGAACGTTCCCGAGTACGCAGAAAAATGATCGATGACTGTGAAACGGGCCGGCCGGATCATCGCCTGCTGAAACAAACAGGTGAAAACGTTCCCTTTGTTCCGTTTAAACTGTTAACCATCCGTGCGTAATTTTAAATCCAGATCCGTAACGTTTTCCCTACACTTTTTCTCTCTCCAAAAGTACGTAAATTGTACGCGTGCACATATACGAAACGAACAGGTTCGAACGAAAGCGTATCAAGGTTATCAAGAGCGCGCTACCTTTCTCATCGAAGGCCACCAGGAAACGTTTACGGTTTATGCAAAGTCTCCTTACCGCTTGATAATAGCAATAAGAAGAAGAAGAAGAAGAAGAAGAAGAAGAAGAAGAAAAAACGATCGACGTTGTATCTTTACGCTTCGATCGATCTCCGAGGAGAGAATTATTTCCTCCGCATCGATGACACGAGATTATCACGTCCTTGACCGTGCAACCGCGCTTTCTTGGATCGCGCGCCACCGCGTCTGGAAATATTTCAACGTGGCCCATCCTTACGAGATCTCGGTGGATCTCTTTTCTTTTTTTCGAATTTTCGATTCGGCCAACACCGAGAAAGAGACGCAAAGAGCGGTGCTCGTCGCGGTTCCGTTTCGACACTGAACGAAAACGCTCGGGAGAAAAATAATTGCCGTCTCTTTCTCTTCCTCCTGAACGATCTCCTCCTCCTCCCCCTCCTCGTTATTTTCGCTAATTCGAAGCAATCCCACCGAGCATTTATCTCCGCGTAATGAAACGTCTCCTCCGGTTAGGGAATTACCGTGTTGTTCGATGACACGAATCGGCGCCGCGTTTCCCTCGCCTCGCGATCGATCGATAAATTAATGCCAAATTATCCATCGAGTTTCATTACCTACGCATACGCAAATATACGAGAAAAGAAACGAAATCTATTTAACCGTCCATTAAGGATGGGCGTTCGATGATAATCTCGCAGAAGAAGAGAGAATTTCTTCCACGACTTTTGCTCGACGACGTTAATCGCTGTCAATTTATTACGTTATCCTTTGTAATATACCGCGCAGATGACGCGATCTTGCTCGACGAACGAGTGTTTTTTTTTTTTTTTTTTTTTTCTCTTTTTTCCCCCCCTCTCCCCCTTCTTTTCGCCGCGTAATCTCGACCGTGACTGACTCGAAGCCGCTCCGAGTCGCGGTTTTCTCGCGATTCGAACGTTTATTATTAGCCATTCTTTTCGAGAATTCCTTCGGTGTCCAATAATTTATCGAGACTGGACAAAGATCGTGTTCCAAGCATCGGT